TGTGGCTTTTAATTATTTACAGAAAAATCTAAATTATCAGTTTATTCTCCCAAATGCAAAGTGTGTTTCTCTCAAGATACAATGAGCCATTAGCCAGCATTGACCAACCTTACTGGGAACATGCCAGCATCATCTACAGGGCCATCACACCTCATACTGTGGTGAGGCTGAATCCAGATGCCTTGTTGCTTTTTTTGTTTCATTTATTTGAAACAGAACATTGAAGTTTGTCCCATAGTATTGTTAAAACTGTTTTCAACTTAATATTGTTTGGTACTAAGTCTCAGTATTCTCAGCTGTACAATGGTAGTAAGAGTTATAACTCACACTACTGTGTGAGGATTAAAAGACAAAATGCAGTGGAAGTGCAGAACCTTGTTTTTGGCACACAGATCATGCTCTATATATCATAGCTAAGACTAGTATTTCCATTATGAAATATGCTCTGGGTCCTAGCCATGGCTATTTATGCAATCTAATGCCACTCCAATATTTGGCAGGACAGTGGCAAGCCATTTTTAACTCTCGCAGTGATCCATACATACCACACATTCAGAAGAAAGAATCATGTATGTGGTTAATTCCTGGTGCAGGCAAGTCATCTGAGGAAAGTTGCAAATTGTAAGAAGAAATCATATTAGAACCTCTTCAGAAATAATTACCTAAAGAAAGTTTATGCTTGACGAAGTTAGATTAAATATGACATAGGCAGTTAACTTTCTCTTGCTAAAGGAGGGCAGAATGATTATGGAAAAATAAAATATTCAGTTGATCTCAAAACTGTGTTCTAACTTTTAGTTTAAAATTTACTAAATTATTTTATTCCCAACAGCTGATATCTGAATAGCCCATGTAGGTTTTAGCCTTGCTACTCTCAGTGAGGTCCACCAATGAGGAGTATCTACATCACTGGGCAATGTGTTAGAAATGCAGAACTTCAGTGCATAATTAGAATCTTCATGTTAATAAGATCTCCAGGTGATTTGTATGTATACTGAAATTTAACAAGCACTATTAATAAGGTTCTCTCACCTAAATTCTCTCACTCAATCCTCTTATAAGTCTATGTGATATATTAGCTCTGTTTTGCAGATGAGGAAACTGAAACCCTATGTTAACTGCTCAGCCTCAGGTCACACAATACAGTATCCAAGGCAACATTCAAAATGAGGTAATCTGCCCTGACTGGTTTGGCTCAGTGGATAGAACATCAGCCTGCAGATTAAAGGGTCCTGGGTTCGATTCCAGTCAAGGACATGTACCTTGGTTGCAGGCTTGATCCTCAGTAGGGGGCATGCAGGAGGCAGCCAATCAATGATTCTCTCATTATTGATGTTTCTCTCTCTCTCTCTCTCTCTCTCTCTCTCTCTCTCTCTCTCTCTCTCCCCTTCATTTTTGTAAAAAAAAAAAAAACATAATAAAAATATGTTTAAAACAAACAAAACAAAATGAGATAATCTGACTTTAATCCCATGCTCTTCCCACTGTAGACAATGCCCTGGGTCTGGTCAGTCCACAAAAAAAGGTAACCAAGTCATGACTGATTGCAAGTCAAATGTAATTATGAAAAGCCATTGCCAAAATCAGTGTTATCACCTCAGAAAGGAAGTAAGTGTCAGATAAATTAAGAGAAATAGGCAGTAACTGTCGGTGGTGGGAAAATGTGAGGAACCAGTCATTTGCAGTTATTAAAAAAGCTCCAAATGGCCGACTTTCAGCCCATTGCAGTGGCAGTAATAGTGCCTACCGTACAGTAAGCTCTGGCTCCCAGAGACCCTGTGATGACATTGGGATCTCCCAGATTATCTAGATCATCTGCACATCTCAAGATCCTGTATTTATTCATATCTGCAAAATACTTTTTGCCACTTGAAGTACCATATTTACAGGTTTCGGGGATTAAGATGTGGACATCTTTGAAGGAGTTATTATTTTGCCAACCACAGATCACTTTAGTCAGTCAGGGCTTTAAACAATGTCATGTATGATAACTTTCCCATGAAAATGAATATGAATGGATAGATGTGCATCTCCTTATTACTCTGCAAATAAACTGAGCAGATTCTATTTCAAACAGCAGGAAAAATACTCAGTATACCCACATTAGACAAAGATTATCTCATGAAGCCGTGCTGTGATAAACTATCCACTTATCAATAGCATCAGTGCCTTAACACAAAGCATACTTGATTCTGAGTTGCTGGTAATAATATTGGGATATGAGGTATTTTACTTTCAAATTGTACTTGAGGGCTATCTGGGGGAGGAGGACAAGCTACTGTTTTGCTCTGTTTTGCAGATGAGGAAACTGAAACCCTATGTTAACTGCTCAGCCTCAGGTCACACAATACAGTATCCAAGGCAACATTCAAAATGAGATAATCTGCCCTGACTGGGTTGGCTCAGTGGCTCAGAAAGAAGCCCTCTCCCTTCTTTCTTCCCCATCCTTTGTTTCTACCAGAGTAACTCTGCTTTCATCTTTATTATGTGTACACTTTCTATTGCACAATTGAGCTAAATGGGTTTTGGGGAGTAAATGGGGTATATTTCAAAACTACTGACTCAGATAAAAATGATTCCTCCCATCCCTGGCTGGAATAGGTTCAGGGTTCAGTGTGTCTGCCTCCAGTGGCATTGTGTGGTAAGGGAAATATATTGTTCTGGATTTGTGAACCCAGAGTTCAGAGAGGAAAAGGAGAAAAAGAGGTAAGATCAGGTATAAATGTTGATTCTTTTGCCCCATTTACACCTTAATGAGGAAATCATATATGGAAGCATTTCAAATTATCTGGTATACAGACATTTGATCCCTATAAAACTGGAAAAGAATCATGTCGATGAAATGTATACAAGTCTCAACTAAAGACAAAGGTTTAATACAGAATTCCCCCATTAAACATCTCATGCTACGTGTCTTTGGAAAGTTTTGAGCCTTGTGAAATATGTTGCCAAGATCAATACCCTGTGAACTTGCTTGTCAAAGCCTTCCCATACCTATTTCCCAATAGAAAGTCATTACCCATTTTGGAACCTTTCCTTTTTGATGTCCACCCAGTTTGATTGAGAAGAATGGTCAATTCATCATCACTGTTTATTTCCTGAGAAAGGATATTACAGTTAAAATAAGATTAGAGTCAGACAGCACTAATGTAGATGTTTGGCTTTCTGGAGGCTGTTAATCTGAATTAGTGAAAAGTCTGATTTATAAAATATCCCTATAGAAATGTAGCTTTTAATCATACATGAGCACTGTCATTAGTAAAGTGTTGCCATGAGAAGGTCATTTCAAACATGCCTTAAGGAGCTGATGTCTCCTCACACTTTTTCTCTAAGGTTCATAAAGAGTCTCCCTAAATATCTCCTATAGATTTTAGTTTCATAAAAATCATAATCTTTGTGTTTTAAGACACCTTAAAGTTAATCCAATCCACTTTGTACCACAATAGGAATCCCTCTACCACATTCTTTGCTTCTAGCTATTCAGTTGCCTAAGGGTACAAAGCTAACTGGCCAGCTATAGATTTTTAGAACTCCTTCCTGATGTTGAAGAGAAACCTTCCTGTCTAGATCTATAAATATTCACCATAGTTTTACCTTGGAAAGCCCTCAGAATAAACTCACACCATTTCCTACAGGTCAGACCTTTAGTTTTTTGTTTGTTTGTTTGTTTGTTTTAAGACTATCATCATACGAACCACTCTCCTACTAGCTCTACAGTCTTCTTCAGGCAAAGTAATCCCAGTTTCAGCACATGGCTTCCAGAATATCTTATGGTATTATATTGAAAGGTTTTAAACCACCTTTCACCATGATTAACAAAAAGGAGATTGGGCTGATGAGACAGAGGGAGATGAGAACCTTCCCCCAACTTTAGATCCACATTTCTGAGTGAAAGCAGAGCAAAACTTGGTCCAAAGAGATAATAAACAAAAGGACAAAAAGGAGATGGCATACCCCAGCATGCCAAGAGGGAGCTGAGGTTGATTTTTTATGGGATACAAAGAGAAAATGATTACTTAGGAAGAGTACTGATTGCCAATAGAGGCAAAGTAGCAAATGGTATCAACTTTCAAATGTTTTGCTTAGCTTTACAAATGTAAAATCAATCATTAGAAATGGTTGGTCCTTTATGATCATCCCTCCTGGTAAGAGTTTTACAAAGAGTTTACAAAATATTATGGTGGAGGAGGCCAAGAAGTGCATCCTCTCAATCCCTTATTCATATAGTCAACTATGGTCACCATGATGCTGAGTGATAGGTATTGGACACCCAGCAGTAAATATGCTTTACACAGCCTCTTCCCTTTGAGAGAACTTGAAGTCTATGATTCTAATCTCACTTTCCTAACTAGCTATGAGGCAGAGACAATCCCCTCCCCCTCCCTGGACTTGTTTCCTCTCATTAAAATGAAGATTGAACTCACCCCTTCTTGATGAGAAGACTATACTGTGTGTATAGCTAAAATCAGAGCCCCTTGACAACCTATGGGTTTCTGAAGAAAAAAAATAGCAACAGAAAATGAAAATTATCTTAACTGGAAAAAAATGGGATCGAGGGGGTGGGAGAGGGAGGAGGGGGTCAATGGGGAGGGGGGGAGAAGGCATCTGTAATACTTTCAACAACACAAATAATTAAAAATAAATAATAAATAAAAGTATTAGGACACACACAAAAAAGGAATCTAAAGCTGTGCATTTGTATCTATCTCCATGCAACATTGGCTTTAAGTTTTCATGTGAAGTGAGGGACACAAGATTTTTTGGAGAGAGAAAGCAGTGTTATGGAACCCAAGGAACTTGGACACACACACACAGACATAGTTCTAATAAAACCTTTGACCATGGGCCCCTTACTGAGCCTCATATTGTCCGTCTGTGAAATGGGACTTAATGCTCCACTTTGCCTGTATCTCACAGATCAGAGGTCCTTATGCTGAGCTGGGCTCTTTATGGTGGTTTGAGACTGAAAAGGGCAATGAATGATGTCATTTTTCTTTCAGCCCACCCTTGGCCAAGCCTCAGCCCCCACCTGCAGTGCAAGCCAGTGGGGGATCCGGCAGCTCCAGTGACTCAGAGAGCAGCTCAGAGTCAGATTCAGACACTGAAAGCAGCACCACGGACAGCGAATCCAATGAGGTGCCTCCTGTGGCAACTCCAGAGGTGGGTGAAGTGGCAAGTGCCCCAACCATGATTTGCCTGTCTTGACTGTCACTAAGTCAGTGCCCTAAATACCCAGCCATGCACTCACACTTTCAGCACAGTAATTATTTTAGCACAATAAATACTTCATAAAAGTATTCAGGTATTTGATAGCATGTTCCCCTCTAAAACATATATTCACACAGTTCCTAATAGGCAGATGCTGGCTGGGTGACTGACTTGTATGACTCAGTTACTTTGAACATTCAAGCTTCCACACATGTAAACTGTAACAGTAATAACTGGGCTAACAACTTCTCTTTCTAGAGAACCAGTGAAGCCAGTCAAGACCCATTTCTGGCTCTGGGAACACCATGCCTTACTCTGGGTTGATTCAATGAATTGCCACTTGGCAATTAAAACACAAGAAGTGATCTTCTTTTGAAAGATATCAGCTCATGCTTATGGTACCAGAGGGTGACAGAATTAAAAAACACTTTAGTAGCTGTGATTCCAACCTGCACAGGGTAATAGGTTAAGGGCCCAATAAATCTTATTGGTTCCCACTGTTGGCAGCATAGCTCTGACATTAGGGCAGCAGTTCTATTAACACATAGATCCTTGTTTCAGACCTGACTCTACCATCGCTTTATATGTGAGATATTGGGAAAGTTATTTCTTAAGCTCCCAGGACTTGATTGTTTCATATGTAAAATGGGAATAATAATAGCAAGGACCTCATAGAGTTGTTATTAGGATGAAATAAATAAATGCAAGTCAAGAGCTTCTCACAGTGCTGTAACATCATCTTTCAAAAGAAGAGCAATTCTAATAAAAATGTTGGCTCTTTTTATCTAAACAGGCAGAGTTCAGAGTTAGGAATCAAACATCTGAATTATACGCATCATTTTCATGGCTTAACAGTGGGCACTAATGTTGGCATACATGTCCCCATACACCAAGGAAGTGCAGTGGTTTTTCAGAAGTCAAATATGTTCAGCCTTAAATAAAAATACCAAACTCCTATTCTTTTTATAATGAATTACAGCATCATATAGGAGGCATTGACACTTTGGCAGATAGAAAGGCTTTCTTTTGAATTACATTTGAGGCATGCTTACATTTCTTTTCAGGACCAGAGATCATTACCTCTGCCTCCTGGTAATAGGTTAAGTAATGAGTCTCACCAAAGGATTTGGGGAAAAGGTTCCCCCTCTACCCCAGGACTCCCTACACACTCCTGAAAAAAAACAACCCCCTCTGTGAATAAGTCTTTCCTTTCTGGTTCCTGGCGAGAGTGGAGAATATTTTCAGAAGAGTGGAAATTAGTTTAAATTAGAAGACTGGGGCTGATTTGTGATGTATTTGGCTCTCTAGGTAATTTGATTAATGTGGATTCTGTGTGTGTGCTTGTCAATGTGTGAATGGCCACTTAACATCCAAAGCTTTTACCAGAAGTCGGTGTACTTAGGGTCATTCTGAATCTTTCCCAGATGAGAAATTTATTATTGCTGCTGTTTCTCAATCTGTAGCCCGAGCCGCCCTCAACCAACAAGTGGCAGTTGGATAAGTGGCTTAACAAAGTGACGTCCCAGAACAAATCATTTATTTGTGGCCAAAATGAGACACCCATGGAGACGATTTCTGTGCCTCCTCCAACCATCCAACCAATGGAAGTCCAGGTCAAAGTTAAAACAACTCCCAACCAGATCCTGGCTGAACCCAAAGAGAGGCCTCTCCTCAGTCTCATCAGGGAAAAAGCCCGTCCACGATCCACCCAGAAAACTCTAGAAACAAAGGCTTTGAAGCATAAGTTGTCAGAAACTATTGATACAGTTTCTCAAAGGACAATTGGGAAAAAACAGCCCAAAAAGGTTGAGAAGAACACTGGCATTGACGAGTTGACCTGGCCCAAACCAAATATTACCAGCAGCACTCCCAAAGAAAAAGGAAGTGTGGAGCTTCCTGACCCACCAAGAAGCCGCAACAAAGCCACTGCCCACAAACCAATCCCCAGGAAAGAACCAAGGTCTCACATCCCATTGGCTTCAGAGAAGAAGAAATATAGAGGGTCTGGGAAAATCGTGCCAAAGTCCCGGGAATTCATTGAAACAGATTCGTCTACATCTGATTCCAACACAGATCAGGAAGAAACCCTGCAGATCAAAGTCCTGCCTCCTTGCACTGCTCCTGGGGGCAACTTTGCCAAATCCAAGGAAACCTGTGGTGCTAGTAAGACCCTCAGCACCCTAGTCAGCAGCAGCAGCAGTTATAACAATTTATCCATCAATAATGAGGAGCCAACTTTTTCACCCATCCCTATAATGCAAACTGGGCTTCTATCTCCTCTAAGAGAGCAGGAAAATCCAAAAAATCTCTGGGTAAAGATTGACCTTGACTTACTATCTAGAGTACCTGGCCACAACTCACTCCAAGCAGCATCAGCCAAGCCAGACTACAAAGAGGCTTCCTCAAAACCCAGGCGTCAGATTGCTGCTGCAGCTGTGGAAAAACCCACCCTTAAGGGCAAGAGGAAGCACAAGGTAAGCTTTTTAATGTGATCTGCCAAGTGATCATGAACAATGGCTGTTCTTTGACTAACTTGATCTTGAGTATTATTTTAAGGATGTCAATGGCAATGGATTGCAGTCTTTGGTGAAAGCAATGGTGCTTTCCATGTGAAATACCATATTTGACATGACCAGGGAGAAAGTGTTAGAAATTATCAGGGTTGGGAAGCCAATATCAAGGATATACAATATGTAACAGGAGGGATCAAATATGTTACATGTAGTAAATAAGAGTATGAAGAGAGTCTTCTGCCCCAGGCTGTCAATCCCTGGGGTAGGATACTTAAGCAGCTCCTGCTTTCATGGACTCATGGGTCATTACTCCACAGTCCTCCACTCTAGCAGCATCAGGGAACCCAAGTGTTCCTAAGTTCAAAAGGCATCCTCTGGGCCTGTTAATTTATCTTAACAAGCATCAGCACCCCCACAACCCACTTTGATTACACTTTGATTACTTTGACTCCTAGTAGACATATGTTCTGCCAAACTCAATGGATCCTCTAACTTGTGTGGTTGGCTTGACTTGTAAAAATATCTCCTGCATATGGTTAAGGCTGAATTCCAGGGCTAAAAATTATAATCAGAAGTTGAAATGCACAATGGCCTCTGATGTCAAATACATCTAGGGAAGTGAGTTTATATGTAATAGATTTATTCTGTTATAGCTCCAGACATGGTAGTTTTTTAGAGTAACATCATCTTGTGTGACTTGGGTAATATGTTTAATGGCTGCAACAGTAGCTAGAGAGAAGGTTTCTAATTCTTTCCTCATTTCTTCTGTCCCTTCCCAGAAGAGACTTAAGAATGATCAGAAATGGCTTAGATTCTTCATTAGGGAGAAGTACTATCTAGGGCCAAGCCAAACTGCTGAAAAGTATGATTTAAGTTTTCATTTAGCATTAATGATTCAAAAATAGAAGGTATTATCTTTGATCTGTGCACCAACTTATCCAAAGAGGCTATTCCAAAATAGTAACCAAAGTCAGTGGTCCTTATCCTATTACTGTGTTCCCACTCTTAGTGAGGACAACACTACAACCAGGGATAAAAGTATAGCTTCACAACAACCACATGTAAAAGTCCAAGGAGTGCCTTATACATAGTTAATTTCATTGAATGTTGTTGATTATACTAGTGCCCTTTATATGTTATTCACAATCTTTGTTGCTTGGACATCATTTATGTCATGTCAGAGTTTCAATGTTAATTCCCAAATTGCTCATTTATTAATGGGAGAGGTATCTGAAAAGTATAGATTCTCTTTACTTTTGGTATGAGATTTCAATCTCTAATCAGAGGTTCACATCACAGCTCAAGTGTCTCCCATGTCAACTTTTGGCCCTGGCTGATGTGATAAAGTTGTTTGTTGGAGTGTCATCTCATACATTAGAAGGTGGAGGATTTGATCCCTGGTGGGGGTGTGTTCAGAGACAACTGTTCTCTCTCTCTCTCTCTCTCTCTCTCTCTCTCTCTCTCTCTCTCTCTCTCTCTCTCTCTCTCTCTCCCCTCCCCTTTCCTCCTTCCCTACTTTTCTCCCTCCCTCCCTCCCTCCCTCACTTCCTTCCTCTTTCTAAAAATCAATTTAAAAGTTCAAAGTTTTGTTAGGAGTTTTGTTAGGAGCAAGGCTAATTGCTTTTCTGTCTGATCAAAGGTGCATATTTAACTTCCCTATCTAACCTAGAAGGTAAAAGAGAAACAAACTATCTACTTTGCTCATTGTTTTTAAAAGTCTACATGTGCTATTTATTTTAAACTGTGCATTTTTTTTCCTGTTAAAGCCAACAGAAGTTGCAGAAAAAATCCCCGAGAAGAAGCAACGCCTGGACGATGCCACCACTATCTGCCTGCTACCCCCTTGCATCTCACCAGCCCCACCCCACAAGCCTTCTTACACTAAAGAGTGAGTTTTCCCTGTGTTTGTATGATACTTCAATTGTTCAGACTTAAAAAAAACCTTTTTTTTTTGGGGGGGGGTTGTCCCAGGTTACATAAAATACAAGAGTTTCTAAGTCCAGTCTTGACAGCTGTTCCTGATTTAACAAGATTAAGCTAAGCGGGTGGAATACAGACTGCCAGCTTTAGGGTGACACCATGAACTTTTTAACAACATTTCTTTACTCTAGCTTACATTGATTACCAAAATTGGCCAATGTGAACTTTTAGCACTAAGTGAAGGGAAAAAGGAAGTAAATGAATTAAAAATGTGCAGTATCAGAAAGCACCTATTGCTTGAACCATATAACTGACTCTCGCACATCTAGTTCTGATGGTGATTAAACAATTTCCCTGGAAAGCAACCCCTTGGGCTTGACAAGATGACCCAGCTGCTGCTTCTTCTGTGGTATCATTATTTAACCTTAATATGAAACTTTAGAGTAGCTATATCTCGAACTCCTCAGAGGTCAGGAGAATGACATGTCTGAAAGGCCAGAGAGATAAGCTATCTGGGAATGACCCTCCCCTAGGCAGTTCTGTATTGGGGAAAGCCAGCTAGGAATCAATAGGTTAATTCCAGTCAGCTGGCACCTCTTTACCTTTATGCCTTTTTGTGGAAGGTGCCAGAGTCAGTAAGGAGGTTCTCCTTATTTTTTCCTCACTCAAATAGCCCAGCCTTCCCTAGAGAATTCCTGCCCTCTCTGTTTCTATCAAGCACTGTGACTGTGTTCTTCTGTCTTATAAATATCATTTAACTAACAATCATGTCAGTTACTGGAACTATTCCATCTGGATAATTATTGCCATAAATTCATTCAACATTAGTGATTACTTCCATCAAAGACCAGTTTTTGAGCCTATTAGCAGCCCAGAGCAGGGAGGCAATCTGGCTAACTGCTGCTAACAATTGATTTCACAGATTATTGTTTAACATCAGTGATATGGTATCAATCTGCCACAAATAAGATGTCAGAAAGAAATTAATTCTAGGTTTCCACTTGTTTGGATCCTTATTGATTTGAGATAAAAGTAGGAAAAGAACAATTGCCATTAGATTCACTCAATATAATTAGGTGATTTGGGCCCTGGGCTGCCCCCTCCCTGAAGATCCAAAGCTCTTTGTGAAGTGTGTCTCTATTCTCTGCTATAACTTTGATCTGAAACATCTTTTAATATGCTTGGAGTTCTCAGAACTAGAAACTCCTACAGTAGAACAAGCTGATGCTGTCCACACCAGGGTGGGCCAGGCATATGGGGGAAACATGCTTCTTCTCCAGTGGTCAAACATGGTCATCCTAGGGCCTTCTTCCTTTCCAAGGAGGAATGACTACAATAGCAGTTCCCAGGCTTTGACCAGTTCAGGCCACTCAAAGGCAAAAAGAAAAGGCAGGGGACAGTGGGGAATTGCCACACCATCAATCTCCATTGCTAGTCTCCTTAAGCAACCCAATGACCTGTCACTCTTTCCATTTCATGGAAGAGAGATGATCACATATTAAGTAAATGTCTAATAATTTTAATGTTCTCATAAAATTGTTTTTAATCAGGATCATTATGGTATTTATGCTTTGGTTGTAGCTAGGAAAGTAGTGTTTACCTAGTCACATTTTTCATTTAGGAGGGCCTGAGTCAGGTTCTTATGCTCATCCAAAAAAATTCAAGTCTGAAAAAAATCTCAAGTTGAGGGTGTATGAAGCATTGACTGGCCTCTCAGAAATCTTCTCCTGGGAACCTCTCCTCAAGCTTTGTCTGCTCCTTTGTGCTTTGTTTACCCTTCAAACTAAATCCTTAAAAATTTGTATCAGGCCACATTCACTTTTCTAAATGAATATTCTAAACCTAGCAAAGAATACCACATCAGACAACGATAGCCAGAGTTCCCTTTCATTCAACAGAAGAGCCCTGCTGAGTTCCTCCCCAATTCTTTGGAACCTAAACCATCAGCAAGGCCTATGAGACATTAAATTGGGAGTGGGAATACACTTCTCTTGTCTGCTGTCCAATGCTAGCCTACTAAAACAGGTGCAGAAAGTAGCTAAAATTGTTCTTGTGTTAAGAAGCTATAATGGTGACTGAGTATTCTCTAGAAAATGCTCCCTGGGTATTTTTTAATAGTAAAGTTATTAAAGGTTCCATGATTCTAGGTTACTACCAAACAGATGGAAAGGTGGCCAGGTGATAGTGCCCACTGCACAGAATGTACTGTGCAGTATTTAATATACTGTGTACAATGGCAGATTGTAAGGCCTAGTATGACTGTAGTAGCCAATGGCTAATGAACCATTCACCTCCTAAAGATGCCATAGCTTAAAACCTTTGACAGATGCCAATACTTAATATCTTTCTACATAAATTCCCAAAAGTCTGATGCCTCGGTAATGATTATATTTATGTAGGCTGATATTTGTGGAGCTTCCTCATGAACACAAATTTTATTCCTCATAGTCATCATTATTTTAATCAGTCATCACAACTTACAGTTGTTCTATATATCAATGCAACTTTAAAAGTCCATGGGAAAATATTGTTTTTAATATGTTCTTATTTATTTTAGAGAGAGAGGAATGGAGAGGGAGAGAGAAATAGAAACATCAATGAGAGAGAATCATCAACATCAATTGGCTGCCTCCTATACATACCCTTCTGGGGATCAAGCCCACAAACTGGGCATGTGCCCTGACCAGGAATCAGACTGGTGACCTCCTGGTATATGGGTCAATGCTCAACCACTGAGCAACACCAGCCAGGCTATTAGTAAATATTTTAATTAATTTTAACCAATTACATTAATGGCAAAACAGTTAAATTTTAAAAAAATTTGCCTCAAAGCAAGAATGGATATAGGGCCTCATTGTGAAACAAAAGATGGATAAGATGATAAATATTACTACAATTGGCAATTTGGGGCAACACAGAGAAAGTGGAACAAGAAGACTGCATTGACTTCTATCATTTTAGAAAACCAAACCATTTGAATGCTCATTCATCTTTGATTTGTGGCTTTGAGATTTTGTAAATCTATATTTCTAGTCACTGACTGAAATTGACCAAGAGGAAAACATAAATCCTTGTTGACTTAATTTGCTATTGAAAATTGTAGTCAATAATCATGAAAAGTAAATGGCTGCACAGTGCAATATTAGTTGTCTAAGAAAAGATTAAAATTCAAATAATCTACATTTACTGGTCTAAGAGAGTAACTAAAATGAAAATCCATGACCCAATTACCATGCTAAGCAGCTAGCATAAGGTTTTAGTTGTTCTATTTCATTTAAAGTCACAGTCTATTTAATAGTGACCATTGAATAGGCACATAAATAAGTTTGAATGTACAGGAGTACTTCTAAGACTGCAGGTGTCGTGTGGCAGTATGACAAAATATTTTTCAAATGGAGTTTGTTACCATACATTAGTACTTCAATGTAAGAACTTAAGCTGAGGGGCTTGTTATGATTTAGCTTTGGGACAGAACATTTTAAATATGCTATTTTCAATGTGTCACTAAATTAAAGAGTGCAAAGAACATATGTAAATAACCAATAGACATAGACAACAGTGTGGTGATGGCCGGAGGGAAGGTGAGGTAGAGGCTGGGTGTAGGTGGACAAAGGAGGAAGGAATAGTGACATCTTTAATAAAGTAAATTATAAAAACAGTTTAAAAATAGTCTTTGCTAATAGCACAAAATAAAAAATAAAGTATTTAGTGCATTGTTTATTTCTAAGTAATGTATAAATATATTATACCTTAATAAACTATACTTCTACTAATTGTTTATTGTACCATTTATTGTGTGATTGTGCAGTTAAGTCCTAAGGCCTTGAGTAGAAACTATCCTAAAAATAAAGGTTAAAGTGCACATTGAATTTTCCATCAAAAAGCTAAGTAATAACAATATTGAAAGGTTATAAATATCACACTGGAGCACACTGTATTAGACACTTATATTTATTGTAGAGTTCTGCTTCAAAGACATATGTTTATTTTTGATATATATGTTATAGCTATATCTATAGAGAGAGATATCTCTCTATAGATTTCTATGTCTATATGTATTAACATATACTCTTCATCACAAGTAAGTAAAATATTACTTCAGCTGAATGTACCAACATCAGAGGAAAATTCATAATAAATACAGACAAAATTTATGACACCCCACACTCTTTGTTTACACAGAAATAATTCATCCAGGAGAGCAAATAGAAGAAAAGAAGAAAAGCTGTTCCCTCCTTCACTTTCCCCACTGCCAGAGGATCTTCCACGCAGCAGAAACATCAGTGGCAATAATGGTTTCTTCAGTCAAGACAAAAACATCCCTATGATTGGACAGTTCAACTCTGCCAAACCTAAGAGGAGTGAAGGCAAATTCTGTGCTACTTTCAAAGGGATATCTGTAAATGTAAGCGTCTTAGGAGAAATATTATGATCAGCAGGTAGAAACAAGTTGATCCAGCATATCTAACTAGACTTGACCACATGGGGATGTTGCAGGGTGATGGGAGGAAGAAACAGAGAGAAACTGTAGGTGTGTGTACACACAAATACACAAACTCTCCATTATTTCAATTTTTAATTATTCTAATGTAGGATGAATTTTGTAATTTCAGTCTTACTGCTTCAAACAGAATATTATGAAGAGACTTGGGACTTTGGATATCCTTTGGTCCAAGTTTTTAATATCTTGAGAGTTGGAACACTTTCAAAATACTGACCACAGTATCTGGTACATTCATACCTGCTAAAAATTTTAGTGACTGTGGGCAATCCCATTCCATCCATTTTTTTTTTTTTCATTCACTAAATGATCAGTGCCTACTATGTACCAGATGCTGTGGTCAGTATTTTAGAAGTGTCCCCTACTCCCAAGATATGAAAGGCTTGGACTAAAGGATATCTAAAATCCTGAGTCTCTGCATAATAATCTGTTCAGAGTAGTAAGATTGGAATGAACACGTTTGAAGTCTATATAATCTTAATAATCAATGTCACCCAATAAGTGTAATTAAAAATAAATAAATAATAGTGACTAAAATGATGGAATTTAAAAGGTGAATTTGTTGATAAAATCACACAATTGTGATTCAAAGCCTAACTAAATGATTATCTGGTCCTTTAGATTTTCTATACTGCTGCTCAATTAGCATAGATAATTAAGAATTTGTATCACTTTTTAGATCCATACACAATATATTTATCTCTTCCAGATATAAGTACATAACCACGAGCAATAGTGTCATTAGTAAATATTAATGACAAATGTATCTGCCTTTCCGTGTAAATACATGTATATGCAGATGTATCATCTAGTCTCCTTTAAATGTCATAAAAAAAGCAAATGAGTGAAACGCAATGAGTTTTAAAATGTCTGGTGCCAACCTGGTGGACTCTGAACCAAGAGTATCCATTTATATCCCATCAAAAACCAAAAGGCCTCTGAGCTATAAGGACCCTAGTTTATAGGTCTTGCATCATCTAAGATGACTGAGATGAAATATATATCTATGTAAGTTTCATCATTGATATAAAGAAATTGCTCTATAATTAAGTTGTCATGTCCCATATGAAATTAATGTGTATATGTATGCACACATAATATTTATATTAATATTTAAAATGCTGCCTATAATGTTAGGAATTAAACCATCTATTCTAAACAGTAATTACACTACAGTCTTATTTTTCATACTGAATGTAATTAATATTGTAAACTCTAACTGATATTCTCTTCTATTGCAAGTTTTTTGGAGGGTATATGTGATGTCTAGGCAGTTTACTTTGTACAGTGCCTAGTATATTGTCACAAATAATCAGGTGCTTATTACAGATGTTTTTATGACAAATGGTATTGCTTACAAGAATCTGCCAAGTCATTTCCATGAGAACTAAAAACTACTGGGAAACATGATAAGTATGATTACAATTGTACTTATAAATTGATCATCCTTGTTAAAGAAATCACTGAGGTATCCCATAATAGAAAGAAGCACCAACTATCACTTCTTTGGCCATTCCTTCTACTAATGGCTTGAAATATGGAGAGAATTTGTGGTGTATTTTTGCCCTAGCCTTGGAGTTAAGAGACTTGACATAGAGTTAGCACTGCAACAACTTTGCTCTGAGAACTTGGACAAATTATGAAATCTCTGTAAAATGAGTGTGTTTGACTAGATTATCTATAAGCCTTCTTCCTACTCCACAAGTGTCTTCTTCAATTTTGTTCTCTCAGAGTCTTTTCCATTTATATATTTCTTAAACTAGATTATTTATTAACTCAATGGATGGGTGTATATGGACAGAGGGCATGTTAATATAACTTACAGCATCATGGCTGAATGCAGCCATTTCCATCCAATCAGATGTGCCAGGACTGACAATGATGCCATGTGGGTGCATGGTGGATGTGGTGTTTGAAGGTTCTTGTCACATGTTTTAATCATAGAGACAGTGGCACTGTCTTAGATGATTCCACTGCTTGATCTGAGCCATCTAGCTCTGGCAGTAGAAACATGGAGTTGGCTTAGGAGTTTTAGAAGACTGACTTTTTAAATGTGCTTAGATTGAATAAGATCAATAATCATGTTTAAACTATTTTCTCAAATATCCATCATTATAATTTTTATATGTGTAGCCTCTCAGCACATTTCTCTCATTGAGCTCTAGATGGTAAGAACTTTTGACAATCAGAGAAGGTCCAGGATCAAATGGAAAAGATGGACTTTCAAGGCTATAAGGAATGTTCACATTTGGCTTTTATCTTTAATTTTTTTTTGACATGGGTCTTAACAATGACATTTTATTGCTTAAAGTATTACAAAGGGTATTACATATGTGTCCATTTTATCCCCCCGCCCTAGACAGTCCCCTAGCCCCCCCTAGCCCCCGGTGTCTTATGTCCATTGGTTATGCTTATATGCATGCATACAAGTCATTTAGTTGATCTCTTACCCCCCTACCTCCTGCCCCCCAACCCTCCCCGGCCTTCCTGCTGCAGTTTGACAATCTGTTTGAGGCAGCTCTGCCTCTGTATCTATTATTGTTCAAAAGTTTATAATGGTCTCTATTATCCATGAATGAGTGAGATCATGTGGTATTTTTCCTTCATTGACTGGCTTATTTCACTTAGCATAATGCTCTCCAGTTCCATCCATGCCGTTGCAAATGGTAAGAGTTCCTTCCTTTTTAGAGCAGCATAGTATTCCATCATGTAGATGTACCACAGTTTTCTAATCCATTCATCTACTGATGGGCACTTAGGCTGTTTCCAGATCTTAGCTATGGTGAATTGTGCTGCTATGAACATAGGGGTGCATATATCCTTTCTGATTGGTGTTTCTGGTTTCTTGGGCTTTTATCTTTAAAGTGACCCTTTTAACTAGGCAGGCAGGCATGCATTCAGCAAATAATTAGGAGCACTAGGCTACAGGATAAGGTGGATAGGGTGGGGTGGGGTAGCGGCGTCATACGTCAGAGATGATTCCAGTGCTAAAAAAGCACTCAATCTAAGGTGAGTCATGAAACGTACTGAGAGAACTAGAATACAAAATATCTGGTGATTGGTGCTATACAGAAGAGATTAAGTCAGACTCTTCAGATCTCTAAGGGCACCAAGAGGATTAAGGCACTTCTGGCCATAGACATAAGGCAGTTTTCCTTGAAGAGAGTGCATTTTTTAAGCTGGATTATAACAGATGAATAGAGTTTAGAAATGGAGGGAAGTGATTACACAAAATGTGATATATCCATACAATGAAATATATTCAGTCTTAAAGAGGAAGGAAAATCTGACACATGCTACAACATGGATGAATCTTAAGGACACTTTGCTAAGTGAAATAAGCCAGTCACAAAAAGACAAATATTTAATGATTCTACTTATGTGTGGTAAATAGAGTAATCAAATTTGCAAATACATAAAGTAGAAGGGTAGTTGTCAGGGGCTGGGGAGAGGAGGCAATGGGAAATTGTAGTTTAACGGGGACAGAGTTTCATTTTTGCCAGATGAAAGAGTTGTAGAGATTTAGAAAACACTGTGAATGGACCTAACACTACTGAATTGTACATCTAAAACTGGTTAAGATTATAAATTTGATGTTATATGCAATTTTAAAAATTAAAAATGGAGTAAATTATCAGGAGGTAAAGAAAAAAGTAATGAAGGGAATGTTTTTTTTTTCCATTTTCTTTTTTTTTGTGTGTGGGAGGGGTTCAACTCTAAGTGTCAGGATGAAGCAAAACAGGAAAGCGGAAAGCAAAGAAAGTAGGGTGTGTTTAGTTTCACGGAAGGTTCATGGGAGGGAGTAGTGAGAGATGATCAGGGATGACCTTACATGCCAGCAAAGGAACTCAGCCTTAGTTTGTACTTGGCCGCAAGGTAGTGAAATATGTGGAGCTTTGTTTAAAAAGCTCAGACTAGCAGGCAGCTAGCTGATTGTGGATGGATTGGAGTTTGGAAGTTGGCCAAGAAGCTGTTTGATAGTCTCGGTCAGAAGACATGAGGGCCCGGCACTTTGAGGCTTCAGAATAGAAAGGGACAAATTTAGGAGATGTTGGGGAGATACAAGAAATACTAATTTGTAATTGTTTGCATAAGGGTAATGGAGAGAAAGATATTAAAGATGAAATAGAACAGTGGTTTTCAAAAAGAGTTTTAGGAACATTATCATTTTTTTAAATGAATTCATTTACAGAATTTCAATATGTAAAGTGGAGTGAAACAGAGTAGCTCATATAGAAGGCAAAGTGGGGAATACACAAGTTCCAATGCTCCTGGTCCAGAGATGGCCACAATACCCTTACTGACATGGATAAACCCAGCCTTGGTGACAGGGAAGACCACCCTATAATTAACAGAAAGAGTGATATGGTTTGCTTCAGAGAAATTTGAAGAGTTAATGGTCTATCTTGGTGGAACTATCCAAAGGTGGTCATTGTAGGTCTGAAGCTTTGGAGAGAGTAAGACTGAGGTTTCCGTTTAGGAGTTGCCTGCTTATTATCAAATCTGTGATAGTGCATACAGGATTGTCAAATTCTGTTAAGGTCAAGAAAGAAGAGAGCTGAGGAATGAACCTTAGGGGCATACCAGGCTTCAATATATACAAACTCAGAAGAACAGAGAGAGGAAGAGGCATTATGACAAGTATGGTCAGATATAGAACAGTCAGGATCTTCCCACAGTTGCCAGGTGGGGAGTAGAGAGTCTGCTATGTGAATAAACATAGCAGGTAGTCTTGGAACACATGCTGTCACATAAATACAAATTTTACAACCTACTTTCTTCATCTGGATCTGATTGTTTCTTTTTTAAATTTTTTATAAAATATATACTTTTATTGATTTCAAAGAGGAAGGGAGAGGGAGAGAGAGATAGAAACATCAATGATGAGAGAGAATCATTGATTGGCTGCCTCCTGCATGCCCCACACTGGGGATAAAGCCTGCAACCCAGGTACGTGCTCTAACCAGGAATTGAACCATAACCTCCTGGTTCATAGGTCGACGCTCAACCACTGAGCCATGCCAGCTGGGCAGGATCACATTATTTCTATGGCAATGACAGCTCAGTGTGAATCTCAGAAATCTCTTATTTGATTTTTGACCTCATTAAAATGAACTTTCACCATCCCAAGACTTCAAAATGAGGAGGCATTCATGTGGCATTCACTCAGCTGGAAATCAGTCAAACTCCTTGTGTGAATGAAAAGGCTGTTTCGGCCTTGGTCCCAGCGTAATGACTACTTCAATACAGTGTCTGGTTTGCTGGTATTTGACTTCACTGAATCTTGTGTTTTGTAGTGACCTGAGTACTTATCCTAGTGAAAGTTTCTGGGCTGGTTTACTTATCAAAAATATATACATCAGGGTCACCTCTTTTTTACTCTCTTCCTTTCCCTCCCTACATTCCTCCTTCCTCCTCTCTCCCATCACATCTCCTACCAAATTTAGACCTTTGCCAATGACTGTATTTATGGAATTATGGGGTTATATAATCCCAGCACCTGACTAACTTGGTGATTAGTGTCATCATAGAACAAAGTCTGGTAATTCACAGAATTCATAAAATATACCAGGGTTACTTATTTATTCTCAAGCTGTGTCCACTATTTTATTTTCCTTTGTTTTATTTTTTATTAAATTTATTGGGGTGACATTGGTTAATAAGATCATATAGATTTCAGGTGTGGATTTCTATGTTACAAGATATGTAAATTGTACTGTGTGCTTACCATCTTCTGTGACCTCCCTTGTCTTGTTTCTTAGTGGGCTTGGCATTCAAATCATTTATGAAAAGATGTTCTAAAAAGCTAAATCTAATGAAAGTTATTTGTCCTCCTTTTTCCCAGGAGGGAGACACTCCAAAAAAGGCAACCTCTGCCACCGTTACTGTCACCAACACTGCTATTGCCACTGCTACTTCTACTGCCATTGTTACCATCCCTGTCATAGCCACTGCCACTGCTACTGCCACGGCTACTACCACAAGCACTACTACTACCATTTCCACCATCACCTCTACCATCACTACTGGCCTAATGGGTAGCAGACACCTGGAGATGACGTCCTGGGCAGCCCTGCCCCTTCTTTCCACCAGCACCACCAGTGTCCGGAGACCCAAACTCACTTTTGATGACTCGTATGTTGTTCCCAGATTATCATGGACCCAGTTTTGGAATTGTGAATGGGGGTGGGGGTAGTATGACTTTTCTAGCGCCATAAAATGTGTCACCCAAAATAAGACCCCAGCAGTAGTTCCTGCAGCTTTAAAAAGTATATCCATCTTCCTCACATACTCCTATCCTAACCAAGAAATGTTTTTGGCCCATTTAAATCACAGATCTCTGTTACTGTTTCCAAAGGCAGTTGCTTCATTCTAGGATTCTGTGTCCTCCATTCTGTGCACCAACAAAGAGGTTTACAGCTAGGTTTTGTTGAATCTTTTTGGGTAACTGGAATAGTGGGTGTTGGAGATTATAGTTATTTATCCTAATGGGCCATTATGCACTTCAGAATTCATTTACAGAATTATTTCAAGGTTATTTATTATAGGAATGATAGCATTCATCTGCCCTTCTCAAGGCATTGTATAGGAATGGATTTATAGTAAAAAAAAAAAAATGGTTTTGACTATTCAGTGTTTAATGAAAAAAAATGAGCCATTGGTTTCTGAAAGAGGTCATTTTGTTTGTTTAGGGTTCACAATGCTGATTATTACATGCAAGAGGCTAAGAAGCTGAAGCACAAAGCTGATGCACTGGTAGGTTTGCTTCCTCTCATTGCTTTGTTCTCATTAAGGTATTATGCTTTAAAGGAAAACAAAGACACTTCATATACAATTCAAACTTTCTCACTGCTGCTCTGACATAGGGATTTTGGAGCTGGTTAATCCATCAACACTGAAATACCCAGATTTCTTTGTACCGTGATACCCTGTCATTCATGTATTTGTTTTTTCACTGTTATTTCCCTTGCCCCAACTTCAGTAGGTACATGGCATATACTATTATTCTTGTCTTTCAAGTGGATTTGAACTGACATTTGAAACTGCTCTGGAGAAGGTGGGGTGGGGGGTTCTTTGAGTCTGGTAAACCAGAAACCAGTATGGGAAGGAAGAGGGTTATTTAGAGCTAATAAAGTAGCCTCTAAAATTGGCTTCGCAAAACTGAGGTATGTATAAAAAACTTAGCTCCTTGCTGAATTTGATTACATGTTCCCAGAATGAGGCCCATAGCCAGGCTAGGACCCTGTACAAAGAGAGGAAGTTCTGTCATCTGGATTTCCCAAGACACTAGGCCCTGCTGCCTCTAAATGTTTTGGTCATCTAGAATAGCAATGAGCTCAGAATGTTGAGTTGTTTGACTTTATTAATCCTCCTAACAAGGGGTCTCAACCATGTGTTACAATCACTTGGGGAGCTTTAAAATAACCCTGATGCCCAGGCCACACTCTGGACAAATGGAATCAAAATTTCTGAGACTGGGACCTGGACATGGGTATTAAAATTCCCCAGGTGATTCCCAAGTTCAGTCAAGACTGAGAGAACCACTGCCTTAGAGAAGGCCCTAATGGCAGACTCCTCACCTTTGACTAAACCTCAGCATAATTAGAGATAATAGTTAGCACACTGAGTTGAAAAATAATATCATCCTCCATTCATTACATTGTGTCAGCCAGGACTTAGCTGTCCCATTGTTTGATACTAGGAGGGCTGTAAGAAAGTATCATGACATTCTCTGAACTATGACTTGTGTGTAGCCAACTTCAACTGTCCATGGACTTGCATCTGCTGTTTCTCTACTTTTTTTTTTGTCATTTTCTCACTGTGGTCCAAATTGTTCAACTATTGTCTGCAGCTAACCTTTCTGTGGTGTTAACTGTCCATTGGAACCACTTGTTCTCTGCTTCTGCAGATGAAAGCAACAAGGCAGGCTGGTGCCAGCTCCACTAGAGATGCTGGGAAGACTGTGCCTGTGACCATTGTATGTGTGGTGAGAGATTTGAGTGACATTAGTGGCTGTGCTGCTGGCTTGAAGACCAAAGTTGTTGTTTTTGTTTTGTTTTGTTTTGTTTCCCTAAATGTCCTCAACTCTGATTCACTGCATAAAGGCTCTGGAGTTTGCACTCTGTCAAAATCAGAACAAGGAAGCACATAACTATTTCTTTGACAAGCTGGTACATAAGCTGATGAAGATTGGGACAAACCTATGAGACCACACCTGTGACTAAATGTTAAAATAACAGAAAAATCAGAGCCACAGAAATATATATACATATGGTTCAGAATAAGCATCACTCTCTGCCATCCAGGGTCTGTTTATATGTTCCCCCTAAATCACCTTGATATTTTAACCACAGTGTATTTTCAATTAGGGAGATTTTGCCCCTATGGGAACAAAGTGGTTTTTGGGAGTGGGATGAAACAGTCTTAGATGTTTCAATGGTGTGTGTCCCTTCAAAGGGTCACAGTACATAAAGACATCATCAGGATATCATTGGTATTAAAGTTTTAATGGGGCTGTGTGGAAAAAAATATCTTAAAAAGCCCCATCGGCCATAACCGGTTTGGCTCAGTGGACAGAGCATCAGCCTGCAGACTGAAGGGTCCCAGGTTCGATTCCGGTCAGGGGCATGTACCTTGGTTGTGGGCACATCCCCAGTGGGAGGTGTGCAGGAGGCAGCTGATCGATGTTTCTCTCTCATCGATGTTTCTAACTCTCTGTCCCTCTCCCTTACTCTCTGTAAAAATCAATAAAATATTTTTTAAAAAGCCCCATCAGGGGATGGTGCTAATGTAGAAAAAGAAAGGGTTGTGAAACATTCATTTAGAGTATATCTTTGCTAGGCTTATGTCTATTCTAGAGTTGGAAGTCCCCTGGTAATTCAAGCTCCTTATTTTATAGATGGAGAAATTGAGGCCCAGGAAGGGGATATGATCTGATCACTAACTGGCACTATGATTTTTAAATTTCTCTGGACTTCAGTTTCACCTTTTTGAAAAGGGGGTGGGGTAGGGATAAAAAATCTTTAAAGATCCTTCCAGCTGTGTATTTATGAATGAAATCACATTTTCAAAAATCAGGATGTAAATAAAGATGAATTTACAAATGGGAGAGCTATTTGGAGCCAGATGACCTCAGGAGATTATCTTGTAAGCCAAGAGAAGATAGTTTGCATATACATAGGTTTTCAGAAAATAACTTTGCATTTCCTTGAAAACAATATTCTCCAAAGCATCTCACAGAAATGAAACCACAGAATTCCTGCAATACATAAAAGCTGAAAAGCATTTTTTTGTAAAAAGAGTCATTTATAACAAGAGATTATGCAGGACCTGTAACTCATCATTTTATAGTTGTACTTAATGTTTTTCTAGAAACAGCTACCCTGCCATTTTGAGAATTGCTGCCTGTACTGTTTCATAGAAAATATTTTGATAAGGTATACAAGAAAATTAAAATAGCTAAATCTGTATTATATTGGTCCTTTTACACAAAATTCTGCATTAGTGGAATTCTTATATCCAGCTATCAAAAATGAAAATGTTAAATACTGTTATAAAATACTCACTATAAAAATGTCATATATAATATTCATTACACATTATAAAGAAATCAATATGTCTAAGTCACTTTAATGGTGACCATTATCAAGGCTAAAACCTTTTGGAATAAAATTTTACTAAACTAAAATATTTAGTAATGCTATATTTTTTGGCCTTTTGACACCCTATTCCAGATCATTATTTACAATGAAAGTGATGTGGTTATTGTCAACAGTCACAGTATAGCTTCACTTTTTCATGACAATAGCATCAATTTGTTACTCTTCTCTATGGGTGTGAGGTTGATCTGCTCACAAAGACTATATGTGTTAGTTTTCCTTGAGGCTTACAAAAAGCAGTTTTATTGCAAGCAGGTCTATAGGATACTACAATGACCAGTCTAGTAATTTTAGGGAATAGAAACTAATCAGAGCAGTGATTTAGATTCTGGTCTATCAAAAAGATAACAACAACAACATAATACTACCACCCATGATACCTTAGCTACTTTTCTTTCCTCAACCAACCTCAGTGTGATGACAATAGAATCTTAAATCAGTTACGTTATTGTCAATACAAATTCATACATTCTACATCAGGGTTTCTCAATCTTTGCACTGTTAGGCTGGCTAATTCTCCATTGTGGTGGCTTCCCTGTGCATTGTGGAAAGTTTAGCCACACCTGTGGCCTCTGCCTACTAGATACCCCCTGTCCCTAGCAGCAACAACCAAACATGTCTTCAGACATTGCCAAATGTTCCCTGAGGAAGGGATGAAAAATTGCCCTAGTTTGAGAACTCTTCCTTTATATGAAGGAGAGAAGGGAATACCATATTGATAAATCTTCTTCTTGTTTTAGTTCGAGAAATTTGGCAAAGCTGTGAATTATGCTGATGCAGCCCTGTCTTTCACCGAATGTGGCAATGCTATGGAGCGTGACCCTCTGGAAGCAAAGTCTCCATATACCATGTACTCTGAGACTGTGGAGCTCCTCAGGTAATTGGCCTTTCTGCAGCCAACTTCCTAAACTCATTTCAGTCATCATTAGAAGCTGCTATTTTTAAAAATATTTCCACATAGCAATGATTTGCCCAAGGCATCTTCTTCTTAGAAATCATGATAATTAGTTCTTGCCATTTTATTAATGTTAGAAAATTGATAATTGATGGATACTGCTTTTATAAATTATCTCCTTTAGAAGTTATAATCCTATGTAATAAAAGAGAAACATGGTAATTAGCCATATGCCCGCTACCCTTCCCATTGGCTAATCAGGGTGATATGCAAATTAACTGCCAGCCAAGATGGCGGCCGGCAGCCAGGCAGTTTGAAGCGAACATGCTTGCTTCAGTGACGGAGGACTCCAACGTTCCCTGCCTGCCGCTGCCGGCCTCTGAGCTTGCAGTTTGAAACATTGTTACAAATATATATAGAAGCTAAACAAAACCCCAGAAACCTGCTTTCAGCAAACCGGGATCTCAGAGCTGGAGTTGAAACAGTGTTTCGATTATAGAACCCAAACAAACCAGATACCTGCTTTTAGCAGCGAAGGCCTAAGAGCTGGGGCCAAGCCTCAGAGCTAAAGCTGGCCCAGAATAAAAAAAAGAAAAAAAGCAGCAGTTGGGAGCTTCAGTCACCTGCCAGCCTGAAAACAACCCTCAGCCCCTCACACAGACTGGCCAGGCACCCCAGTGAGGAACCCCACCCTGAAGGGTGTGTGACCAGCTGCAAACAGCTATCATCCCCTCATCCAGGCTGGCCAGGCACCCCAGTGGGGACCCCCACCCTGATCCAGGACACCCTTCAGGGCAAACCAGCCAGCCCCCACCCGTGCACCAGGCCTCTATCCTATATAGTAAAAGGGTAATATGCCTCCCAGCACCGGGATCAGCGGAGCCGAGAGGCCTCCTGGCACCAGGATCAGCATGACAGGGGACAGCGCCCAAACTCCCTGATCGCCCTGCAGCTCTGTGTGTGACAGGGGGCGGAGCCACAACCTCCCTATCGGCCCTGCTCTGTTCATAACAGGGGAAAGTGCCCCAACCCCCTGATCAGCCCTGCTCTGTGCCTTATAGGGGGGAGCTCCCCAACCCCCTGATCGCCCTGAGGCTCTGTGTATGACAGGATGCGGCGCCTGAACCCCCTGATCGGCCCTGCTCTGTGTGTGACAGGGTGCGTCGCCCCACCCCCCCACCCCCCGCAACGGGCCCTGCTCTGTGTGTGACGGGGTAGAGCCACAACCTCCCCATCAGCCCTGCCCTGAGTGTGACAAGGTGCGGCACCCCAACCCCTGATCTGCCCTGCTCTGTGTGTGGCAGGGGGCAGTGCCCCAACTCCCCTATCAGCCCTACTCTGTGAGTGACAGAGGGGAGCTCCTCAACCCCCTGATCGGCCCTGCTCTGTGTGTGACAGGGAGGAGCTCCCCGAACCCCTGATGGGCCCTGCTCTGTGCATGACAGGGGGCGGTGCCCCAACTCCCCAATCAGCCCTGCTCTGAGCCCGACCAGCGGCTGCACCTAGGGATTGGGCCTGCCCTCTGCCACCCGGGAGCGGGCCTAAGCCAGTAGGTCATTATCTCCTGAGGGGTCCCAGACTGTGAGAGGGCACAGGCCGGGCTGAGGAACCCCCCTCCCCCACGAGTGCATAAATTTTTCTGCACCGGGCCTCTAGTCTTCTATAATAATAAAAGGGTAATATGCTAATTAGACCGGAAGTCTTTCCTGATGGCCTTCCTGAGGAAGCCGGGGCCTGAAGAAAGCAGCTCGGGTCCTGGATGCCAGAGGGAAGCTGGTGCCAGCAGCCAGAGGAAGGAAGCCCTACTCTTGCACAAATGTTCGTGCATCAGGCCTCCTGTAGTGTGATTATATATATATATATATATATATATAGCAATATTCATAAAATTAAAATGGAAACATAGTGGGTAGAAGTATAATAATCCCACTGTTTGACATTGACAGTTGTATTTTCAAAGTGCAATTTTAGAACTAAAAAAAAAAAAAGTGGTGTTATTAGGATTTGTGTTATAATCCATGTTTTGTAAGAACTTTTCTGCAGTGGTTATTTAAAAAAAGACAGAGTACCCTTCCAGCATGAAGTAATCATTAAGGCCACAGATGTGGAGTAGACTTTTCCTACATGTAAAATTTCAGGGAAACAGACAAGGTGGTTGCAGGGTAGAGGAGACATGAGAATAGGAGAGGGTATATTAACTGCACAGATTATTGGTTCCATTTGTATTTTAAATAAAAAATTTCGGCCTGTTGGCCTTAGCAGAGTAGAATTTGTAGGTAATCAAAAAATTCCTGAGAGAAGGGAAAAGAGAAGAAATGATATCCATTCTAGTGTTTTCCAGTAACTTGCAGATATTTGGAAAATAATGTATCTCTGAATGGTGGATAAGCACAATAATTTTCTAGAATGATTAAATAATTGCTTTTGATTGAGCAAATAGATCTTTACCTTATAGGCCCTTATATTCTGGTCACCCCTGACTTGATTAATCAATGTGCGGCTGGATTTCTAGATTTTTACGCTGTTGCTTGTATCTGCATAAATGCTTACAAATCTGAAGACACGTGTACCTAAACCTTTAGACGCATTGGACAAATTCAGCATACATATTTTGATAGGAAAGCATTTTAAAATATCCAAAGAATATGAACTCTTCTAAAGAAAAAAATATGCTCACTGGAAAAAGAATATTTAGTTAAAACCAAAAAAGTAAGAGATCATGAAGAAAGATCTAGCCTTGCCTTGCCAGACCAGGCAGACATATTTGGCTTTTCTCTGTTCTGAGAAGCATGTAAATTATCTCTCTGACTTCATGCATTGGTGGAAGCCATCACTGCCATTCTATAGCTTTTAAGGGGAAATTGATTTTTTTGTGTCTATTCAAGGCTGCCTGTGATTTTCAAAGTGCATAAGATGAAAAGTCTGGCAAAAATGATAAGCATTAAAAATTAAGAGAAAGCAATAAACAAACACAGAGAAAATCCAAATGTAAAATTTTAAAAAAGGCACTTTTTAAATTAACAAGAAAATGTAAAATTTTTAATTCCTGGTGTTAGCACCCACACAAACAATATTAGTGAACTAGGCCTGTCCTATGCTGATGATGGGAGAAAAAGTGATAATTGTATATTGAGGAAAATTGGGCATTGTGGAGGAAAGCCTATTAATATAAGTATTTATATATTTTGAGCCCATATCTCAACTTCTGGAAATTTGAATTTCCTCTGCTGAAGAAAATAATTGTAGGAATAGTACAAGTTATCTTTATGGTGTTCTGTTTGGCATAAATTATAGCACACAATTAGAAGCAAACTAAAAAATCAATAAGAGTAATTAATTACTTCATAATACACTCAACAGAATACATTGCAGCCATTGAATTGCAACAATGATGAAGACTATATAACTGTATGAAAATGTTTATAACTTGATGTTAAAGAAAAGCAAGCTTCAGAATTATATACAGATTACACTTCTGACCATGAAAAGCATGCTTCTGCATGTAGACCAATCTGGAAGGGAAATGAATTCATACCTGTAATGGGGTGAAAATATGGGTGTTTTCCCTTTCTATATATTTTTCTTTCTTATTAATTTTCTTTTTTCAGTTTAGTATTTTTCTTTTTTAAAAATTTTCTTTATTGATTAAGGTGTTGCATATGTGTCCTTATCCCTCCATCACCCCCCAACCCCCACACATGCCCTCACCCCCATGTTGTCTGTGTACATTGGTTAGGCTTATATGCATGCATACAACTCCTTTGATTGATCTCTCCCCCTTACACCTCCCCTCCCCTACCTTCCCTCTGAGGCTTGACGGTCTGATCGATGCTTCTCTGTCTCTGGATCTGTTTTTGTTCATCAGCTTATGGTATTCATTATATTCCATAAATGAGTGAGATCATGTGGTATTTATCTTTCTCTGACTGGCTTATTTCACTTAGCATAATGCTCTCCAGTTCCATCCATGCTGTTGCAAATAGTAGGAGTTCCTTCCTTTTTTCTGCAGCATAGTATTCCATTGCAAAGATGTCCAAAGTTTTTTAATCCACTCATCTGCTGATGGGCACTTAGGCTGTTTCCAAATCTTAGCTATGGTGAATTGTGCTGCTATGAACATAGGGGTGCATATATCCTTTCTGATTGGTGTTTCTGGTTTTTTGGGATATATTCCTAGAAGTGGGATCACTGGATCAAATGGGAGTTCCATTTTTAGTTTTTTGAGGAAACTCCATACTGTTCTCCACAGCGGCTGCACCAGTCTGCATTCCCACCAGCAGTGCATGAGGGTTCCTTTTTCTCCACATCCTCTCCAGCACTTGTGTGTTGATTTGTTGATGATAGCCATTCTGACAGGTGTGAGATGGCACTGCATTGTCGTGCCATCTTGACTTACATATCTTTGACTTACATCTCTTGGATAATTACTGACTTTGAGCATGTTTTCATATGTCTCTTGGCCTTCCTTATGTCTTCTTTCAAAAAGTATCTATTTAGATCCATTGCCCATTTTTTGATTAGGTTGTTTGTCTTCCTTTTGTTAAGTTGCATGAGTTCCCTGTAAGTGTTGGAGATTAAACCCTTATCGGAGATATCGTTGGTAAATATGTTCTCTCATGCAGTGGGTTTTCTTGTTGTTTTGTTGATGGTTTCTTTTGCTGTGCAGAAGCTTTTTATTTTGATGTAGTCCCATTTGTTTATTTTCCGTTTAATTTTAGGAGCTGTGTCAGTGAAGATATTGCTTTGGCATATATCTGAGATCTTGCTGCCTATGGATTCCTCTAATATTTTTATGGTTTCCCGTCTTCCGTTTAAGTCCTTTATCCATTTTGAGTTTATTTTTGTGTATGGTGTAAGTTGGTAGTCTAGTTTTTTTTTTGTTTTTTGTGTTTTTTTTTTATTATTTGTATGTATCTGTCCAATTTTCCCAGCACCATTTATTGAAGAGACTGGCTCAACTCCATTGTATGTTCTTGCCTCCT